AGACGTGTCAATCCCTACATCTCTCTGATGCATAATGCAATTACTATGGACATAGACAAAACATTATGAAAAATGTTTCACAGATAATTGTTTTTAAGTCCAAAAATCAAAAAAACTAGTAATGTTTGTTTGTCTATTTTTCTTTTTTGCCTGGCGGGGATATCTATCTGACACTAGGTATCATGATTATAAGCATCTTTGGTAGATTGTTCGATCCGGAATGGGAAAGATCTCCTATTGCACAATCTGGCAACCCTGTCGCACCCTCACAAAATGGCCGCTGACAAGCACACAAGTCACCGTGTTTGTCATTGAATAGCATGGAATTAAACCTTCAGGGTATATGTTTTGTGACTGGTACCAAGAGTTGACAGATCCCACACATGTGTCACTCTTTGAAATGCAATAATCAGCTGTATTCGAATAATGTCTAATATAAATATAACCTAGAATGTGTACTCGTGAAAAAAGAAAAATATGGCAAATTTGTAGTTTTTGCAGGTTCTAGGTTTGCTGGTAGCTTTAAGGCATATATTTGGGAATTTCTTAATCGCTGTGAATATAGTGTGGATGTTTGTTCAGTTCCTGAACAACGAAAAATATTCAACTTTATGGATGTATGGATATCAAAAAACCTGAATGGTTTTGAGGGAATATCAATCTAAGGTGCCATAATGGTTCTGATGAACGGCAAGTAAATGAATGAATGTTTGGAAACGAGCAATATCTATGAACTTTTTGGTAGAGCCTGTCATAAACATGAATAAAAAATCAACAATATTAATTAAAACATGAATTTAATTCAAAAATCAGACATTTCTTAAAATGTTGACTGAATTCTATGTAATTTCTTAATATTCAATAAGCTAGTGATGTTTCAATGACAAGTTGTCATCTCATACTTTGACAGTATTTTGTTTTCAACATTTCATAGCTATTGGTTGCTAAAATTTGTTGATTGGAACTTGGAGCACGTTCGCTGTATCTGACGGTCTGTTACCCTATAGGTGGAGAATAAAGGACTGTTGTTGGTGAAGTTGGCCCTTAGTGGCGTAACACCAAAAGCATTATTTGGTTAAGAAGTGCCAATAACTTGAAATTTATATTTTTCAAAATGCTAAGATACTGGCCAACACTGCCATTCATCTTTTATTTGGAATTATTCATCTTTCTCATTCAGCATTGCTGTTCGCGTCTTCATTGGTTATATTTTCCAATAAGTAATAGGCTTAAATTTATAAACAACATCAAAGACTTTAATTATCAATATTAGCAATATGTAACATTTTATAAAACAAAAGTGTGACGATCAGTTAAATACATACATTATGAATTTCTTATTCATTAGATCCATGACTTTTTGGGCACAGATTACCTCTAAAGATATTAATTTGTAAGAAGATAAAGAAAATTCAACGATTGAATTGATCAGCTTTAATATACCAATATCATAGCTACTCTGAGAACATAAAAAGATGGCGTACATATGTGGGAAAATCACATCCATAGTCACACATCGTGAATCCCGTTTCATCTGTTGAGTGTTGATGTATAAACAGACAGCAAGGAAGGAAAACAGATAAGAGCTGGATGCAAATCTAATTTGAAGCCGGCAGCATTTTAATATTCTTTCCAACTCCCCGAGCTCCCAAACTCCCCGACTTCGTATTCGGATGCGATGCGAGTGTCTCCGGCTCGAAGCTGAAGCTGTGCCAGCTGCGACGGGATCCGTGTCGCGTAAGTCAGTGGCGTCGCCGAAAAGCATACTGTTTCTTCGCAAATAGTATCAAGATGCCTTTGGAAACCACTGTCAATGGACAGTTATGGTATAACTTTTAATTTTTGGATGATACACGACATATACAAAAATGTGCATATCATGATATACCCAAAAAATATGGATTGCTTGTTGCACCATCGTTTGTAAATTGTTTAAGTACATTGTGTTCCGTTTTTTTACTTTATCTTATACTCTTTAGTCTTCTCTACATTATTCATTTTCACTGAAACATAAATACGAACTTTTGAAAAACAAAGTAATTGTTTTCATTGAAAAAGCTTTTAGGATGTAAGTATAAAGTTTAGATATTCTGATTTCTTTTCTGGTTATTAACTTTTGCATAGGTACACCCATTTTCAAACTTATGACCATACAATAATCTGGATCAATATATATAATCAGGATTACTCTAATGCATTCCAAACTACGCATTACTTTGTAGAAATCAATAACAGGTATGAAACCGCTCCAGATGAAACAGCCGCCAGTAATCCTTCTTCTCTTTATTCGTATTCATAAACAAAAAAAGCCTATTGACTAGCGGCATGTGTGATGGTGCATCAATCCAGTTGAAGGGTGCATGTAAAGCTAGACATACACGCTAATAATGTGCAAAGCAGCCTGGTTTACAGACTACGTAGATTCAGATACATGATTTTTATAAAACATTTTATTTCTCGTCATGCCAAGAAGGGTTTTGCTTATATTATAACTAAAACTTGTTTTTGCCAAAAAAGCTGATTGAAATACCTAACAAAAAAGTTTAATCTGAAAAATTTCCAAATGATTGCACTGCTTTAAAGCCCTTTGACCTTTAATAATGTGTGGATGCACCCTGATGTGCTACGCATTCTCCAACGCGCCTAGGCATGCTTCTGATCAGGTGGTCAATGTCCTCCTGTGGTATCTCATTCCAGGCAACCACCAACTCCTCTCGAAGTGCTTCTAGAGTCTGAGGAGGACGTTGCAAATTGAGCAATCTCCTACCCATCATATCCCACACGTGCTCAATTGGGGATAAGTCGGGAGATCTTGGTGGCAATGGTAACAATGTGACATCATTATGTTGAAAGAAGTATATTGTGACTCTTGCAACATGTGGTCGGGCATTATCTTGTTGGAAAGTTGGATCTGCCAGGGTGTCAAGATAGGGTAAAAGATGGGGTTCTAGAACTTCGTGGATATAACGCTGCGCGTTCATGTTACCTCTGATGAAGATTAAAGGTGAAATGGAACCATAAACTATAGCACCCCAAACCATAACTCCAACAGTGTGATGAACATGTCTTTCAACAAAAAACTGTGGATTCCTCCTTTCACCACGTCGCCTTCTAACCCTGGCACGACCATCGTGCATGCCTAAACAAAATCGAGACCCGTCACTAAAGACAATACTGTTCCATTCCTGATCCCAGAGTGACCGTTGTCTGCACCACTCAAGGCGATTACGTCGGTGTTCTCGAGTTAAAGGGAGGACCCAGTGTGGCCGGTATGAAAACAAGCCAAAACTTCTCATTCGTCGGTAAACACTTCGCATGCCAATAGGTCTTCCGTGTTCTGCAAACCATACATTTGCAATGGACCTGGTAGTGGAGAAACGGTCCCTTAAGGCCAATAATCTTAGGCGGCGATCTTCACGGTCTGTTGTTCTACGGCGGCGTCCAGTGCTCCTTGCTCTTTGCGTACGGCCTTCTCGAAGCCATGCCTGACAACACCTAACCACAGTGTCTACACTTCTTTGCACTCTAACTGCAATTGCCCGAAAAGAAAGTCCAGCTTCCCGAAGTCCCACTATACGGCCCCTATCAAACTCACTAAGTTGACGAAATCGTACAGGTCTCCGTACTCTAGGCACCGTAACCGATCGTAAAGGATGTCAAGAATCAAAATCCGCCAACGTTGATTCTTTACTGCGGCTGAAATATTCATTTTTAGAGCGTTAGTGAATTAAAAAAAAACAGTATAAAAACCGGAATGTCCAACTGATAAGGCTGAAAATTTTTTCACTTGTTATTTACAGTAAGATAAATACATTCACCAACTTTTATTAAAATAAAACCATTTAAACTGGGTGATCGGATTTATATGTCACTTAGTATACTTTTTAGATGTAGAATATTTTTTAATACTTCTACCAGTGGCGTGTTTGTGGGATGTATAGTGGATAATTACAAAAATATGGTACGCCATTGCTTTTTCAAAAAAAACTTCCTCATTTATTTTGCAGTAAATGTGACCTATTGACTTTTTTCCGTCCGATGCATCGTTTTTGCGTAAAAAATAAAAACCATTTTTATAAATTTGGGGTATAACAAAATTATTTTGAACTATGTTGTGCCCTATTTTGTTCTTAAAATAATGACATTTAATCGGTTACTTTGCGGTCTTATTTTGACAAGTATTCATAAACGTTTTTACATTGTGAATCTTTTTTAATTAACAATTAAGAAAACAAAAGTAACCTATGCCAAGATTTACAAAATAGCAAATACGCATTTTACCTATGGACTTGCTGAAAATACTTGTTGATAATTCGCTATACCATTATCATAGGCCTCAAGCACTACTGCCGGGGGATTTTCCATTGCGTTTAAATTTTTGCTGATGGTTTTTAGAAAAAATTGCTGAAAACCCTTTATTTGATATCAAAATGTTCTTGACTGATGAAGATGCTTTCTCTCGCAATTCCATTCGTAATGATCATCTATGGGCGGAAGACGGAATTTTGGAACGACTTGACTCCTCACTTTCCTTTGAAACCGCCAACGAAGGCGTAGGAAGTATGCAGTCAATCTACTTGACGCCTTTTTTACGATTTACCTTTTACCAAGGTACGACAGTATAGCTTCTCGACCACTGTGCGTCGGTGAAGAGCCCTTTCCATTTTTCCGTCAATCCCACTTCTGATGTCACCCGAAACCGCGGCACTGTGCACTGATAAGACGTGCCACCCTCCGCATGTGGATGCCCGGTGACGTCACACGTCCGACCAACCCCCGAGAAGCACCCTGCGCGTCGACGCTTCCGATTGGCCGGTCGCCGCGTCGCCATGACTAGGCTCCGCCCCCGAAAGCCACCCTCCAACTTATTGAATTAAGGCTTATCATTCGATTGTAGCCACGCGACTCAACCTGATCTCAGCCTCCGACGGTTCAGTTCAGTTCTCGCGAATCCTAATCTAATCTACGGCGTGTTCTTGAGAAAAGTTCGTCATTATCAGATTAGCCATGGACTATTCGTACCTGAACCAAGCCGGGTTCGACTCCAGCTGTCTGCAGGGTACAGGCATGGACCCTGCGGGACTTAACATGCCGTGCTCTTACGGGGATCTCACCTCCTGCGGGCAAATGTCACAGGCTGCTTACAGGTAAAGTATCTCCGATACTAGCAAACAACAAGGATAGGGCCGTTTAAAAAATGTGATTCTTATCGAAATGACAATATCTATAGAGCGGAAGGCTCACTGACATCAGTGATGTGAAAGGTATACAAAGTATTTGAAGAGACATACAAGACAAACTTTTAAAAAAAGTATTTCAGACTAGCTGTTTTAGCATATATCGTTGTTTCCGAGTATTTATTTATATATTAATAACAACCAGGAAAATTACAAATTTTTCGTCGACAATTCAAAACTAATATCAAATGTCAAACAAGAATCCTGGGAACAATTATACTCTATAAATAATATAGACAAAGCAACGGGACTGTTCATAGAGAAAATAAAAAAACTAATAGATATTAGTACCAATAAAGTAATAATTAGTCACAAAGAGAAAAGCAGAAATGCCTGGCTTACCAAAGGATTAATAACATCGGCAATAGAAAAAGAAAGACTATATAATGTAATGAAACTAACGCCAACTACAGAGAATACCGACTGTTACAACCAATATAAAAATAAATTTATAGAGCTTGCAAGGCAAACCAAACGAAAACATTACCTAAATAAATTGAATAATAACTTAAATGATCCTAAGCGGCTTTGGACAACTATTGATGAGATTACTGGGAAAACAAAATTTAAAGAGTGTGTCACTGAGTTAAATACAACATCGGGAACAGTATCAAAAAATACTCAACAGATATGCGATGAATTTGTACAATTCTTTACTGACATAGGCGAAAATTTAGCAAGTAATATACAAGCAAATGTACAAAATACTCAGCCTCCAAAAAGAACTTTGAACTCATTTATTTTGGATAAAATCGAACAATATGAAGTATACACCACTGTTATGTCCTTAAAAAATCGGAAAAGTCCTGGGTTCGATGGTATTAAAAGCGAGCATTTGAAAATTATAGCCGAGGACATAACAGAACCACTCACTTACCTAATCAACAAATGCTTTGAATCTGGCATATATCCCTCAATTTTAAAAAAAGGTAATATAATACCGATACATAAATCAGGAACAAAAACAGATGTTAACAACTATAGACCAATATCAATAATATCCAGTGTAGCAAAGGTTTTTGAAAAAGTTTTATCTACTAGAATGATTCGATACCTCACAAAATTCAAAATTGTAAGTGAAAATCAATATGGATTTACAGAAGGGAAGGCTACATCGGACGCAATAACTAAAATTGTAAATCAAATATATCAAAATATTGATAACAGAATCCCTTCAATCTGCATTTTTGTTGATTTAAAGAAAGCTTTCGACACAGTTAATCTCAAATTATTATTAGAAGCATTGGAGAGAATTGGTTTCAGAGGAAACGCGTACTCACTGATCGAAAGTTATTTGTCAAATCGCCCACAATCTGTGCAGATATCAGGATCATTTAGTAAAGAAATGTATATTAAGTGTGGTGTCCCACAAGGAACTGTCTTAGGTCCGCTGTTATTCAATATATATTTAAATGATATTTTCCAAATTAATTGTGTTGGCAAAATAACTAGTTTTGCAGATGATACTGCAATATTATATGAAGGCACTGACTGGTCTGATCTGAAAAATGTAATTGAAAATGATTTTATCAAAATTATTCGGTGGTTTAACAGTAGAAAATTAAGCATTAACTACTCTAAAACACATTTTTTACCATTTGGGTCTTATGCTAGACATCTGCCAAATTACACAAATTTCTCCTTCAATATTAATGATCAAAAAATGCAAATTAATAGAGTGCCCAAAAAAAAAATACCTTGGAGTGGTCTTGGATCCTCACTTACGATGGGACATCCATGTCAATTATATTTTAACGAAAGTTAGATTTGTATCCTACAAAATTAAATACCTTGGGAATATATTGACAGAAAAATATCTTCAAACATTATACCATGCACTGATTGAGCCTCATCTCACATATGGTATATTAGCATGGGGAGCTGCATGTTCCTCACATATCTATAATTTAGATGTTTTTCAAAAAAGTATTCTAAAAATGATATTTAAAAAACCGAAACTTTATCCCACTGAAAAATTATATGCAGATGTTCGAATATATGATATAAGACAGCTTTATTTCTTACACAGTATCACTCACTACCATAAATTTGTAAACACCGACCAAAAAATTAAACATAATCATTATACCAGATACAAAATTCGTGGCACAGTAGTTCCTCAACCGCATACATCTATAATGCAGCGATCATATCTCTATTTAGCGCCTAAATTTTATGAAATTATACCTAAAGACTTAAAAGATTTACGTTTCGGAAATTGTTTCAAAAGAAATTTAAAAAAGTGGCTACATTCTATATCTAGGACTGAAATTCGTAAACTCATAAATACGAACATCAACTAAATACATAATCTACTGTAGCTAATTTTTGTCCTTTTTTGTCATTTGCATTCTACAGTTTCAACTTAAATTATTGGTTAATAGATAATTCTTTTTTTATTCGATCTGAAACGTTATACGCACATATTTGGTGCATAACTAATATGGTTTACCCTTTGGGAACACTATGTAAGATCGCTAAGGCTGTAAAATAATTCACAATATTAAATTAAAATGTTTCGAAATACAGAAACAAATGTGGCAATTTGCCCCTTACTGGGGCTGGATGTCACATTGCTTGAGGTTGGTTGTCAAGCGTATTTTAGATCGTTAATAAATTATGATATCATACTTTTAAACATATTTATTATTACAAACTAATTAAATACCAAATCTTTATGAGAAAAAAGTAGAAGAGGCTTTTTTACAATTAGTCACTATCGCAGTTATGACATATGTGCACGCATCATGAGACCTACCATTACCCGATGAGCATTTTACCTATTCTGTTAGAAAATGGTTCAAGACAAATCAAGCAAAAACATTCTTCTCCATCAGTTTCATTATCTGAACACGACGTGCGTTTTTCAATTTCTTTAGATTTCATAATTTTTTTTTTGAATCAAAAACGTCCCTTTTCACTGTTTCCCTGTTCCTCTTTTTCTTGTTCGAGCATTTATTTTTCTCTTTCTCGAATTCGTCTCTTACTGGAGTGTCAATGAGTATTGCATTCCCTCGTTTACGACGGGAAACTCGATTCATTTTTCTTGCCGATGCCTTTGGATAAGGTCTTAAACTTTCTGGAAATACTATATTTCCCGTATGCAGCCTTACTAAACTACTACAGCAGGGATCATCAAATCAAGTTTGTTTAGCTGTGTTGCTATCTCGTATATTATCTACTGCTTCCTGCGTGTTTATATTTATCGGACTTACAGTTTCATCTTCGTTCAAGATGGTTGAATTTGGCCCAACTTCCTTTTCGTTCAAGGTTTCCGGGTTTGGTCCAGTTATTGCTTCGTTCAAGATACCCGGATCTGGCCTATCAGTGACAGAGACACCCGAAATCCAGATGTATATTTTTGGGAGTAAATGCGAGGGGGTATGCAATAGAGACTACTGAAGGTATGGCGTATATAGTCATGGTCTTACCGGGATTATTTAAAACCCAAACATCGCAGGAAGTGTTTACATATTTCTTAAAAGGGCCGAAAACGGCGCTGTCAAGAGGTTGAAGTTTATGTGAACAGTGAGCATGACAATACCATTTGCTTTGGCCAAATTCAGTCCTTCTATAGTCAGATGTGATCCGTGCTTGTCTAGTAAAAGCAGGCACGGTCTTTCCTCGGTGCTTTTCACATGAAGGTGAAAAAATCTAAGAAACTCCAAGAAATGCGGCTCTTTCATCCAACCTGATGAGTTTGCTGAACCTTGTGAGCCAGGAGGAGCTGAATTTAAAAAATGTGGTTTGAAATATACCCGTAGAAAAATGAAAAAAGGAGATATGGAATTTCCAATAGCTGATACTGCACTTGATAAAGTTTCTGATGAAACTATCGAACCTTCTGACATTGTGGTCGGGACTTTGGACAGTTTTAATCCCAGTTTCGTCCATGTCCCAGATTTCGTGAGGCTCAAATTTATGTTTTTCGATAACTGGACATCAAACAATGCGTCGACGTTCGTTTTATTGAAACTACTGGCTCTTGCTAAACTAGCTTCCGGTTTGCGAATAGACAGTACAGGATGACGTTTTAGAAACGCACTAAACAAGTCAGGACCAGCTAATTTATGGAGCTTCCAATTTTCCGGCATTTTGAATGTTAATGTTTAAAAATGTTAAAACAATACCCGTCGATTTTGTTGGAAATAATAAAGCTTGGATGACTTCATCAATGTTTGAAGCATATTTAAAAAAGTGGGACGCTGAACTTGTTAAGAAAAATCGTAAAATTTTGCTCTTGGTCGATAACTGCCCCGCTCATCCAAATAACGGGTGATTTTTCAAGAGGTATAGGATTTGATTTTCAAAAAACACAAAAAATTTGAAAAAATGTTGGGCGCGGCTCCGCTTTAGATGGCCCATGCGCAAAGTCCAATTTTGGCACACTCTCTCCAACATATCGGCCGGTATCTCACGAATAAATGCTTCAATATTGGCTTCCAGTGCGTCAATCGTTGCTGGTTTATCGCTGTAGACATTAGCCTTAACATGGCCCCACAAGAAATAGTCCAACGGCGTTAAATCGCACGATCTAGGCGGCCAATTGACGGGCCCCAAACGTGAGATAAACTGTTCACCGTACTCGCCTCTCACTAGGGTCATTGTTAGGTGTGAGGTGTGGCATGTGGCACCATCTTGTCGAAACCACATGTCAGCCAAGTCCAGCTCTTCCATTTTGGGCAAAAAAAAGTTTGTTATCATCGCACGGTAGCGCTCGCCATTCACAGTTACGTTCCGGCCATTATCGTCTTTGAAGAAGTACGGCCCGATGATGCCACCGGCCCATAATCCACACCAAACAGTGATTTTTTCGGGATGCATTGGTAGCTCTTGCAATGTTTCTGGCTGGTCTTCACTCCAGATGCGGCAATTTTGCTTGTTAACGTACCCATTCAACCAGAAATGAGCTTC